GTGCTCGGGTTGGCTGCATGCTGGTACTGATCTGAGCTGGATTTGGCTAGGCTCACTCAGTGCCAGTGGTTAACTGTGTGTCGGCTAGGTGGCTTTGGTGGTTCCGGCTGAGCTCTCAAATGTCTGAGGCCTCAGCTGGAACAATGGAGCCAATTCAGCCCTGCTTCACTTGTCTCATTCTCTTGCAGGCTCCCTGAGTTATGTTCTCATGGCAGAGGCACAAGAGCAAGTGTGAGCCCAGTCATGCCTGTGTCATTTGCATGTTCTCATGATTGTGTGAAAGTCCATTCACACACACTGTAGGCTGGGGTGGGGTGGGAGGAGGACATTCTTACATGGCAGCCCTGAGAGCGCCTGTGTCAGGAGCACATGTAAAATAGAGCTAATGCAGCATTGTCTCCAAGAGTGTCCAAACAAATAACATGACCTAATTCATATGAAAAAAATTATTAAATTGTGAGAGTTCCAGAGGTGTAACTTCTTATTACAGATAATAGTGGAATCTGAGTAGACAAATTTCAATCTTGGAACCAGGGAATAAAATTCAAGCTTGTGGGAGAGGGTTGCTGAGGGAGCAAGGGAGTTAAGAAGGAAAACTCAGACCCAGTAATTAAGAGGTTCCAGGAGGGTGGGCAGAGGGGAAGCTGGGAAGGAGCAAAGGGTAAGGAAAATGTTTCCTTTGGACCAAGGCAAGCTTAATGGAGGGGAAGTGTGCAGGGAGAATGCTGGGCCAGCAGGGATGAGGGAAATGAGAGAGAGAGAGAGAGAGAGAGAGAGAGAGAGAGAGAGAGAGAGAGAGAGAGACAAGGCTCCAGGCCTTGCTGCCTGTACAAAGAACGGGAGTTTGGGCCGTGTGCTCATCCGTGTCTGGCATCACTGTTTACTTTTAGCTTCTGGCAGCCTGGTGGATCCTCAGCGTGTTCCTCACCGAGCTGAGCCGTTCTCTGGCCCCAGCTGCCTGGCGGCAGGCTTTTCTGTCTTCCACCCAGCTCCTACTCTGCACCCTCTCCAGATCTAGAGTGCCACGCTGAGGCAGATCCAGGTACCGCCTCCAGGTCTGCCGGAGCTCTGGCAGCCCCTGTGTCCCCAGACCTCCAAGCATGATTCCCAGGACTCAGGGAGCACCCTGAGATGCGAGACCACCTTCCTGAGCACAGTTCAGAGGGAGCCTCACTGGGATGAGAGGGTCTGACTTTAACTCCTTTGAGAACAGAGGCTAGGGTGGGGCTGGCAGCCCTCTAGGAGGCAAGGGTGGGGGAGGGGGTGAAGGGGAAAGGAAGGGAATAGAAGATGAAGGAGAGGAAGGGGGAAGGAAGGTGATGTGGTGGAAATAAAGGTAGGGGAAGAAGGTGGGGGAGAGAAAGGGATAAGACTGGGCAGAAAGGAAAGGAAAAGGTGATAGAGGAAAGGGGGATGGGTGGGGAAGAGGGAGATATAGAAAGGAAAGGAAGGCCTGGAGGGCAAGGAAGAATGGAAGGGAGGGGGTAGAGAAGAAAGGAATGCAAAGTGGGGTGAAGTCCGGGGTGGAAGTAAAGCTGGGGGAACAGAGGGGAAGAAGAGATAGAAGGGAAACTTAACATTGGGGAGAGGAAGGGGCAGGAAGTAAAGGGGAGAGAGAGCATGGGAAAGCTTTGACTCCAGTGTGCCCTAGCAGCCACCCACACCTGCCTGTGCGCGAGAGCACACACACTACCAGGTGGAACAGGCCCTCAGGAAAGTCAGTGAGTCCAAAGTCAAACCCCTCCTCTGTCTAGGAGGTTCACTGGTCATATGACTTTGGAAGCAGGTGGCAACTTGCCCTGACACTAGTTATCACATTTATAAAATGGAGATAATTTAAATGCCTACTTTACAGGGATGTTAAAGTTCAATTAGGTTAAACAACCAACCAATGAACCAACCAAAAGAAATGTAAATGCCTTGGTCTTGGTGCATGTAAGAGATGCCAGTTGGTGCCCCAGCTGCTTCTCAGATGGGAGCACCCTTGCTGGAAAGAAAATGCCTGAGACTACTGGCAGCCAAGTCTGTCTCTGGGGGAATCACATAAAAATCCGCACCCTTACCTCAAGGTAGGCAACTCCAGAACTCCCTGGGGGATCAGGCTGAGTCAAAGAATTTAGCTGAACCCACATCTGTTGAGCTTCCCTCTGCCCTATCCTGCTTCCTTCACAGGCTTCTCTTGAAAGCCCTTCCTCAACAGGTCCATTGCATCTAAATGCCTGTCTTGGGCTCTGCTTCTAGAGACCACCTAAGACATACCTTCCTGCAGATTAGTTATCAGTGTGCTGGGACCAAGGATGGGCCTAAAATTGGTGACAGGGTCCCCCAGAGATGAGAGGGCCACACACAGCCCTGTTCTTAACCAAAGGAGTCATGTCAGGCCAGCTTTGTGAGCCTCTGGCAAGTTCCAGGTCTTACCTGTCCTAGGAGGATTAGAAGAGGAAACTGGGTGGGATTCACATGACATAAAATAAAAACAAGCTGGGGGAGTATCCTCTAAGGCCGTGGTTGGCAAACCGCGGCTCGCGAGCCACATGCGTGGCTCTTCCACAAAATACCACGTGCGGGCGCGCACGTACAGTGCTATTGAAACTTCGTGGCCCATGAGCAAAAGTCGGTATTTTGTGTAAGAGCCACACTCAAGGGGCCAAAGAGCCGCATGTGGCTCGAGAGCCACGGTTTGCCGAGCCGCAGTTTGCCGACCACTGCTCTAAGGCTATGGTTTCCTAGGACACCAGGAAACCACCAGCCCTAGCAAACAGGGCTGGAGCTGTATCTTAAGCATTCTAAAATATCCCCTGAGAGGCCTGCTGGTGGGGTGGCTGGTGGAGGGGGAGGCTGCTGATTTGGGGGCTTTCTGGTGATGAGGGAGTTTGGGAGTCATTTAAGGGATGAGAAGGAGTCAGGGCACACTTCAATGGGGGAGGCGCCCACAAAGCTTCCATTTTGTGTGCAATTAGTCTAGGGAATGCCCTCATTTGCATAAGGTTCATAAATTTGCATAAAATTGCTTGAGGCCCTAACCACCAGTACAGAAAATAAAATAACATGAATCAATTAGCAGGACTGGCTGCTATTGGAGTAAGCCTGGTGTTAGGGAATCTCCTTCTCCTAACTCAGAAGCACTGGGTAGGGGGTACTATGGAAAGGGAGACCTGCCTCCACTCTGACTAAAAGTAGAGACTAGCATTTGTGTACAGCAGATATAAAATCAGGGCCTGAGCCAGGAGATGCAGGCAGCAGTCTATGGCTGGTGGAGGAGGCATGAGAGAATAGCAAGGATGAAAGAACATGTGAGGAGACAGTGGTGTGTGTGTTAAAGGAAGGATGCCTAGCCCTTGTGTTTATCAAGAGCTTTTTCTGCCTCTGGCCTGAGCCATACATCCTCCCATTTGATTTTCGTGACAACCATATGAAACTGGTACAATTACCCCATTGTAGAGATTTAGAAACATACGTTCAGAGGTGTTACAGATTTGCACAGGATAACACCAGCAAATGGTAAATGTGGGCCTGCCTTGCTCTAGAGGCCTATAGAAACCTCCCAGTGAGAATGGCACCTGGTTTGCAGCTGGAGTACAATAAATATTTGTTGAATGAATGACTGATGTATGTGTGTGAAGGGGTTCAGAACAGACCTCCCCAAGATGTGCCACTTTGGCATGTGAATTATTTTGAGTTAAAGGCAATCAAGACCCTGTGGACTCAAGAAAAACTTTTACCTCTCTCTTAAAGAATTTAAATTGGGAGAGTTGCCCATAGTAAGAGTTATCAACAGAAATAATCTTTTATGACCTACCTATACTTCTAATTACTGAACATCCACTCTTCTATAGTCCTGTGAATGACCTTCCTCCCCTCTGAGGCCCTAAGGTGCCTCATCTCATCTTTAGCTCAGAATGTCATATTTGCCACATTTTCCATTACGATCTCTGAACCTCACATGTATGTAGGGTCTCTCTCTCATGTATGTGGGGTTTCCATATGTATGTATGTATGTAATTAGATTTGGTTATTTTTTTTCTTGTTAGTTTATCTCATGTAGGCAAATGAGCTGAGAGTGGATGTGAAAGTCAAACTGAGGATTTTGTGTGGCATTTTTAAAAGAAAAACAGCTTTGCCCTGACCGGTTTGGCTCAGTGGATAGAGCGTCGGCCTGCAGACTGAAGGGTCCCAGGTTTGATTCCGGTCAAGGGCATGTACCTTGGTTGCAGGCACATCCCCAGTAGGGGGTGTGCAGGAGGCAGCTGATCGATGTTTCTCTCTCATTGATGTTTCTAACTCTCTATCCCTCTCCCTTACTCTCTGTAAAAAAAAACACAATAAAATATGTTTTAAAAAATAAAAAAAAATAAAAGAAAAACAGCTTAAAAGTGAACTACAGGATGTAATTTCCTAGAACAAAACAAAACAAAAACCAAAAACAAGCTCTGTGAGCTGGCTTTTTGGTTCCTTTGTGGCATCACTCTATCTTGCCATCTGTTTGTCCACCTTCTGAGCCCTACCCAGCATGCCACATTCTTTTATTCTGGTCTGTAATCTGTGGTCTTTGGTGAGGAAGGAGAATCCATAGCTAACCAGAGCTAAGAAGCTAAGGTCATGGAGCCCAAGCCCATTTCCTACCACTGAAACTATAAAGGGCTCTTATCTTTTATTTCTGTCTGTTAACAAGCCTTTACTGATGAATCATCATTTTCTCTCTCCATCTCTCCTTTTCTCTTTTGCACTGACCCTGATAGTTTATAAGAACTCTCAAGGATTTTTTGCTTCTGCTCTCCCTGAACCTCCTCCTCTCCCAGAGTCACTGTTAATGAATCAAATTGCCCTTCGACTTGAATTACAGGGAAAGCAGCCTCACCTACCACTTGCAATAGATGGGGTGGTTGCCCCCAGATCCACACTCGCCTTGTTGCAACTACTGAGTGGATGTTTATTTTTGAATCTCGCATCCTTTATCTGAGAAAATGGACTACCGATGGGAAACAATTACCTACCACTTACCCCACAGGGCTGATGGGAGCAGATGGCACGTGTGGTGGAGGAGCAGCACAGTGCATTAATGTCATCAGCAACGATCACAGCCATAATGAGTCCACATCACGGGGACTGAAAACCAAAGAGAGGAAAGATCAACAGCTGGGCACTTCATCCAGATGTGGTCACAACCACCCAAATGGCTTGTTCCAGTTTCACTTAATGGGCAGAGAACAGTGTGAAGCCACAAGGGTACCCACAGGAAATAGCCCCTACTTTCAACCCTGCCTATTTTCAGGGAGCCACTTTGTAGGGAGCACGTGGCAATTCATTGTTTACCTGGGCCCACTGAACTGCTTTCTTCTGCTCTGACTGCTCTGACTGAATAAAGTGTGTGTGTGTGTGTGTGTGTGTGTGTGTGTGTGTGCGCGCGCGAGCGCCTCTGCTCATTCTTCCCAGAAGGAAGTGCAGGAGATAGTCCTAGTAAGGTCTCCAAAGCTAGCAGTAATGTTACAAGATAATACATAATGGTTGGGAGAAAGACCTGCAGCAACATTTCATGATTTGCTAAATTGGGACACTGTGATATCAGCCTCTGTAAAGACAGAACGACAAGTCAATTTCTTAATTAGAGAAAGAACAAGGATGAAGACCAATGTTTCAGCCAGTGTCCTTGATACTTCAGAGGGTTTTAGGTAGAAAAGGGAAAATCACACCACTGCAGAGTTTCCCCAACCCCTGCCCAGCTTGAATCACAACCATAACTTTGTTCCCCACTACCACTCCCCACCCCCTTTGCTTTGGGTTTCCTCAAAGCTCAGAGCAGGTCAAATATGCCTTTCAGATTCTTTCCTATCCCTTCCAGATGGATCATAAAGTGTAGTCTATACCAACTCCATGAATGTGTAGGTCTTAATTAGCACACATTATGGTTCCTAAATGTTTGGGGACAATTTTTTTTTTTTGGTTCTTTCTAGTTGTAACTAGATTGGAAGGATTTTGCTGGAACCTGGTTGAAGGCAATGGATTAACTCCTGAAGATGGACAGTTTCAACAGAACTCAATAACACCCAAAAAAGTTTCATCATTTTGAGAAGCATCACTATTTACAATGATTATTTAATGTATTTTAACTTTTTTTAAAAAAAAAACCACTAGGATGAACTTTATATAAAACCTAAGCATTTCATGTTTTAGTTAATCTTTACTTCCATATTTTTTAGTGGCTGTGAATGTTAGTGAACTCCTTATCTACTTGGTCTGGCTTCTGTCTCAACCACTCCAGTGAAACTGCTCTTTGCAACTACCTGTGGTTGCTACATTCAAAGGACATTTACCAGACTTCATTTTACTTAACACCTTGGCAGCATTTGACACTGCCGACTCCACCTCCTTTCCAGAATGCTCTGGCTCAGCATTGCTAAAAACCATGCATTGTAGCCCCCTACCAATAGGAAGACTAGTACTGGTCTGCAATGAGATAAGTACAGAAACTAGAATAATAGAAATTTTTAAGCAACTCAAATTTTGTCTGCTGATTCTAATAATAAAAACAGAATTTATATTTTGAATGTCTTTGTTAATGTTTTTGTTAATCCATTTTTGTTGTATTTATTACAAAAGTATTGTCTGTGACATATTGGTGGGGGGAATCCCTAGTCCTTCTCCAAAGATAATGTAAAAAACCCTGCTATAGGTCCTTATCTTTTCTGAATCCAGCTCTACTGGCTTTCTTCCCACTCTACTTTTTTGAGAAATTTGCGTATTGCCTTCATCTGTCTTACCTCCACAGATTTGCCCTTTCCTGATGAAATCTTGTGCACCATTGTTTCCCCAACCCCAAGCCCAATGCCTGCATGCAAGGGAAGCCCAATCGACTTTTGTGATATAAATGAGTTTCACGGGAGGCAGCCTTGGAGGCACATCATTTACCAAGTTAGAAAGCATTTTAGATCCACTAATTTCTTCCTTTTTCTTTATTCCCCCTAGCTCTTGCAGTAGGCATGCTAATTGTCACAAGTAATAGTGAACTAAAAAGTAGTACATTTCCTTTTGTGGTCCAAGTCAGTCAGAATGTTCTAGGCCAGTGGTCGGCAAACTGCAGCTCGCGAGCCACATGCGGCTCTTTGGCCCCTTGAGTGTGGCCACGAAGTTTCAATCACACTGCACGTGCGCGCCCACACGTGGTATTTTGTGGAAGAGCCACACTCAAGGGGCCGCAGTTTGCCAACCACTGGCCTAGGCTAAAAATCATCCTATATTTGATTTCCCTTTTCTGGGAGGGGGGCGGACAGCAGTGGCATTTCACCCAGAGAACTCCTCCTGATGATCTGAAGGCATCCTGGGAATCTGCCAGCCTATGTGGAGGAAATTGCCTTAAGCACAGATGGGGAACCTGAATTTATCTCCTGGCCATGTAGAGTGCTGCCCACCAAATGGAATTCTGCAGCTTTCCCTGTCCTGTGCCTCAGTGTCCTGAAGGGTGAATGAGTGGCAGTCAGGGTGACCCTTGGGGCTAATCTAAGAGGGAGACCAATTAGTGATCCTACAGCACACTCAAAATAGAAATGTCAAGTGTTACTATTAATAGTCATGTTTCCTCTGCTCTGGTTTCCAAGGTCCCTTCCGCTTGTATTCCAGAACCTCTGGAAAATAAAAAGAAACGTGATTTGGAGGTAAAAGAAAGTTGTAACTGTAGTGTATCTCAAAATGACTGTAAAGATAAAATGTAGATGAATGTGCTGCCTTTCTAAAATGACCCTGAAGACCAAAATTATAAGAAAAAGGTTAACAGCTTTAATATGTAAAAATGTAAAACTTTTGCATTGGAAAAAAGAAAAAGAAAAAGCCAGAAACAATTAAAGGACAAATGAAAATCTGCACAAAATATTTTTACATAGATAGCAGTTGAAAAGAGAGCATCCTTAATATGTAAAGTGCTCTTACAATAAATAAGAAAGAAATACCCAAATAGAAAAATTGACAAAAGGCATGAGTAAGGCAATTCACAAAAGAAGACATACAATCTCACTATACATGAAAAGTGAGGAGGTGTTATTTTATTTGGCATCTTTTTGGCAGCTGTGAGACTGAACCCATAGAATATCATTTTTTATTTATCATATTGGCAAAGATTGATCATCTCCAGGCAAGTGAAGGAAAATGGACATTGACAAATAGTTACAGTTTTCCTGGAGAGCAATTTGGCAATGCATAACCAAAGCCTTGTCCTTTGATGCACAGATTCCACCTCTAGGAATGAACCCTAAGGAATAATAAGACAAGTACACAAAGATGTGTCTGATAAGATTGGTTTTTGCAGTGAGGTTTATAGTAGCAAAACTGGAAGCTATCTAAATGTGAATTAATAGCTGATTAGTTAAGTATACAGATGAGTACTATGTAGTCACTTTAATGAATAGCTCTATATCTATTGATATAGAAAGCTGTCACTGAATTTCACTAAATGGAAAAGTTGAAAACTAGAGGTGTAGAATGATTTTATTTTTGAGCATTTAAAAAAGTGTGTGTGTGTGTGTGTGTGTGTGTGTGTGTGTGTGTGTAAAGTGCTCTACAGTCATATTTTCTTAATTTATTTTTAATTTAAGTATAATTGGTATAGAATCTTATATTGGTAATATTAGTTTCAGGTGTACAATGTACTGGTTCAATATTTTTATACCTTACAGTGTGATCACCCCACTAATTACAGTAATCATCTGTCATCATGTAAATGTATCACAATATTATTGACTATATTCACTCATCCCCCAACCCCTCCCATCTGGTTACCATCCCTTTGGTCTCTATTTCCATAAGTCTGTTTTTGTTTTGTTTTGTTTGTTTGTTTTATTTTTTTAGATTCCACATGTAAATGAAACCATACGGTATTTGTCTTTCTATGCTTGAATTATTTCACTTAGCAATCATACTTTTTGAATGATGAGATTATAGGTAATTTTGTCTTCTTTTATAGTTTTCCATAATTTCTTGATTTTTTTACAATTAAAACTTATAACTATCTCTATTGAAAACTTTATTTTATGGAGCACTTGATCTTGCTATTCTGGCTGTTTTATGGAGGTGGAAGAATCAACAAATAAAACATATGCACATAAATAAAAATAAGGAAGTAAAAATTTTAATCAGAGGTAAATTTTATTGTTCCTCTCTGAATCATTATTTTATTACTTATTTTGGAATGCACTTATTTAATTCATGGAAGCTTTCCTACCACTAGCAGTCCAACCTTATTCTTTTTAAAATACCTTGGAACATTCTATCACATTAGCTGTCCCTGAAATCATTAGTGGGTATAATACTTGTATTTTTTTAATTGCTAATAAAATAATTGCCAATAAACTCTGTTAAAAAGCATCTGTCCCCAGGGACATATATTATGATCTCAATCCTCTCAGTGAAGATATGCGAAGAGGTCTTTCTTTAAATATATTTTTTATTGATTTTAGAGAGAGAGGGAGAGATAGAAACATTAATGATGAGAAAGAATCATTGATTGGCTGCCTCCTGCATGCCCCTACTGGGGATCGAGCCCACAACCCAGGCACATGCCCTTGACCAGAATTGAACCTGGGACTCTTCAGTCCGCAAACTGAGGCTCTATCCACTGAGCCAAACCAACCAGGGCTGCAAAAAGGTCTTGATGGGTCCAACTCCACTGGGATCACTCTCTGCAAGTGCACAGGGCACCCTTCAACCTTGCTGATTATATTCTTACTAGAGGCCCGGTGCACAAAATTTGTGCATGGGTACAGTCCCTAGGCCTGGCCTGTGATCAGGGCCATCTTTCTCGACTGCCCACAACCGGCTCTGACCCCGCTGCCACCCACCCCCAGTTCCCCATTTGCCATCAGGCAATCAGAGCCTACCGGCTTGCCAGCCCTGCCCCTGCTGCAGGTTGCCCTCCATGTGTGGGGCAGGGACCTTGGCCTGGTGCTGCCCACATCCCCTACCACCTACGCATCCCCTGCCACCCACCCCTGGTTCCCTGTTTGCCATCGGGCGATGGGAGCCTGCCGGCTGGGGAAAGGAACCAAGAGGTGGTCAGTGCGCCTCATAGTGACTGGTCAAGCAGTCGTCATTCTGCCTTTAGGTCTGCCTGGTCATTCTGCCTTTAGGGTCAATTTGCATATTACCCTTTTATTATATAGGATAGGACCAAATCTGGGCTTGTTCTTATGTTTAGAAATGGAACCTGGCATTCCAAAGTGTCTTCTTTTAATAATTTTTATGTCATCTTAGTAACAGGGCAGGAATATGATGGGTACATCAATCTTTCACTGAGAAATAGTTGCTAGAGCAATAAGAAAGTGGAATAACCGTTGTCTGGACTCTATTATTATTATATAACAAAAGGTACACACACACACACACACACACACACACACACACACACATATATATATACCTTTTGACATACAATATATAAATGATATATATATACCATATATATGCATATATTTAATATTAATTTGAACCATATGAAATTTCCTATATTCAACTCTTTTTGACCTATAGGAATAGCAATTTCATATGGCTCAACCTTACATATTGTTAGACTTGTAGTATCTGGACATAAACATACTAATATTCTGAGGTTGTTGTTGCCTTTGTACAGAAGTGAAAATTTATTCCAGGGAAGCAGAAAGTGGGCATTTAGCTGGATTTCCCTCTGATCTAAGTATGTGTGTGTGTGTGTGTGTGTGTGTGTGTGTGTCCTTAGAAACCAAATAGAAAATCATCCCACACATTTTTAAAAAGTCTTAATCTAACTTCCTCCTTTTACATTGTTCAACAACTTCTTTGTTCAAGTTGCATTTTGAATTTATTTTTTCAGAACTTTTATCTTAAAAAAAGGGGAAAAATCTTCCCAGGTGACATTACTGTATTGCTTATCATCTTGCGTACTGTGGCTCTGCTGATGCCCCTTAGAAACCATTTCATCCTTAATATTAAGCAACTTGCCCAAGTTCACAAAGCTTTTCTAACTTACCACCCTGCAGAGGGAGTAAAGGCTGTTATCATCCTCTCCCCTCAGGAAGGCCAGTCATGGGCTCAGTTCAATAGCAGGGCCAGCAACCAACATCCTGGAAGCTCTGAGGGAAAAGACCATCAATTGATAAATTATCATGATCATTTTTAATGTTATTATTCATATGCTACATCTGCTGCAGAAAACACAGGATTATTTAAAATGCACATAATAATTTGAGTTTTCTACAACATTTATTTTCTGTCTAAATTATTTTTTAACTGATATGAATGCAAAGACTTGTGAAGACAAAAAGCAAGGCTTTTAAAAAATCCATAACCTTAAATTAAGACCACATTTATTCACACGGGGTGACTGCAGCCCAGAACTTTCTTCCTTTAAACCCTTCAGTGATATCAGCAAACCACATTTCCACCTCTTCTTGGCCCAGTTTTTATTTTTTCTCCTAGCAACAGCATTGGAAGACCAAAGTATAATGCATTTCACAGTAAGAATCCTAATGGAGTTTTTAGTAAACTTAGCCAGACCAGCCTCCTTCCCCAGTGAAAAGATGCCTCTAATTGATCTCTATGTAGAAACAGCAGCTGGTGATCAGAACCACTGTGCTCAGTTTTATTTTATAAGGACAAGCACTTCCATCATGATACCATACAAACAACAGGACCCTGGGAGAGACACACAGAGAAGGCCAAACAGACAGACAGACAGACACAGATAAGACCCAGCAAGAACTTAACTGCAGGACCCACAGCCATGCCACCTTAAATGGCAAGTTTCTGATAACCCGTGATGGATTGGAGCCAGGTTGAGACAGGGAGGTGTTAGGGGAGAAAGTGCAAGTGTGGAGGGTCAGGCAAAGCCTGCTCCCTTAAACGCCTGCACTGGCCCTGAGCTTTGTTAGGGGGCGCTGTGGGGCTGCAGGTGCTGATTCCTCACCAGACAAAAAGGCAGTTTTAGTAGGCCTGCCCTGGTTGAAACCCCCATAGCTCTTTTGGCAAAGAGTAGGTGTGTCCTGGCCAGGTTCCAGTTTGGGTAATTACAGCCTGTCAACCTAAATTCCCCCCAGGGTTGCAGTTAAATATGGTACCCGTCTTCACAATTAAATTTTAGCTCTAATAGGACACTCGATTGTCATGTTACGTGACAGTTAAATAGCGGCTGCATGGTACCCCAGAGGTAGCTTCACTTTTGTGGTGACTACAAAGATTTCTCTGGGTGTAATAAATGCCCTGTATGGACAGAATTAGGGGGGCTCTTTCTGCTAAATTGGAGTTGGTAACTATAGGACTTCACTCATCATTAATTTTTTTTCTTTATTTTTTCCATCACCATTTATCCTCTCTATGCCCTCTTCCACTTCCACTCCCCCCCCCCGCCCGCAATCACCACACTGTTGTCCATGTCCATGAGTTCTCTCTCTTCTTTTTTTTCTTTTTTACTCAGTCCCTTCACTCTCTTCCTATTAGAGCTGTCTGCCTGCTCTCTATGAGTCTGTCTTTCAGAGACAAAAAATATGGGGAATACAACACTCTAATATCATTTCCAGTCCCTTCTCCAAATAAGTGTTTCTCTTCTTATGGCCCCAAACTCTATTACTATTATCTTTACTCAGCATTTATTCAAATTTGTCTTATATTATAGTATTTTGATTAAATATTTTGCACTTAAATGATTACTTTTCCTTATCCCTGAACACAATGCTTACTAAATATTTCTGAAGAAGAGAAAGAAGGCGTCTCCTCTTTCTTTTCCAAGGGTAAGAATAGCTGATATATATTGAGTGGTCACTATAGTTTGATCATTTTTCCCAACACTTTACAGGTACTAATTCAGCCAACCCTCACCATCCCATAAAGCATTATTATTATTGTCTTATTTTTATAGATGAAAATTCTGAGGCACAGAGAAGTTAGATAATTTGCCGAAGGTCACACAGCTAGTAAGGGATGGCGCCAAGAGCAAAACTCACAAGACTTACCCCCCGGAGCCTCATACTCTTACACTGCATCATTTAGGTTTGTAATTAAACAAAACAAATGAGTATCCCTACTGTTATTAAGGACTGAGTGTAAGAAGTTGATGCAATATAATGCACCTGTCTCCAGTTTACTTAGGCTATCCTAAATAACAAGTGGGCCGCTTTCTGAAATCCACACTGTTGTTTGTCATTTTCCATCCTTGGGCAATTATTTCACACTGCAAATGAGAAGGTGATAATCTAAAGTATTCACAGCCAGTCTTGCCTACAGAGGTGTGAGCAAGGAGGAAGATAGCATGTTGTGATTAGAGAGAGAAGAAACAAACCCCAGTGATTGCAATGTGTAAGGAAGGGGTCAGCCTCATTATTCTAATGCATAGTTTTCTGCACCCATAGAAATATTTTATTCCAACAAGTTAATTCCTTTAAGTGGTGAGCGCTGAGTGTGGCACACATGATTATCTTCCTTAGGTTTCTTGCTGCTTTCTCCCCACCCGGCTGGGGGAATGATTTCTGCAGCTCACCTCTTGCAATTAGAAACAGCCCTACAGGGCAGAGGTGCAGCCTGCACTCTGAGATACTCTTCTACAGCTGAAATAAAAACAGCCTTTGAAAATATTCTGCTGCCAAAATCATTTTAGCATTTCACTGTCACACAGCGGGAGAGGGGGAGGGAGGGAAGGAGAGGGGGGGGGAGAGAGAGAGAGAGAGAGAGAGAGAGAGAGAGAGAGAGAGAGAGAGAGAACCCTTTCCATGTACAACTGGCAAGACCTCGTCTTTCCCGTGTACAAGGAAATTAATTTCCTTTTTAATTTTTAAAAAAGCTGTCCATAAAAACATATTTCGAGATTTTACATTTTCATAAGAAGACGTCTCAATTGTAAAAGAGTTCCTCTTATAAGACAAGGTTGTAATTAGATTGTGATGATGAATGACCAGGGTGAAGGGTCTTCCCTTCTTTCTGGAGAAAGAAACATCCTGGATGGTGGAGGCAAGGGCCGCCTGGGTAAGCCATTCTGGTGCCAATGCCAAAGATTGTTCTTTCCCATGAAGCTGCTAAAGAAGAAAAGCTGTTTCTAAGCTTAGGAGTAATAACAACCGGAGAGACAATTTAGAGGGTGAGCCAAGGTGGTTGCCTAAACAGAAGCCAGCAGTGCCAACAGGGGGCGCTGTACAAGGCACAGCAGCCTCCCCTTCACTGGCAGATTGCCAGTGCTTTCTGCTCTCTCTCTTTCAATCTGGGTATATTTTCTCTTGCAGTTATTGAAAAGAGTAACTGTCCTTTCACAAATGCCTTAACTTTTTTGTTGTTCTTTATATATGCCTGTTATGGACTGAATTTTTGTTCCTTCCTTCCCAAATTTGTATGTTGAGGCCCTAACCCCCAGGACTCCAGAATGTGATTGTATTTGGAGATAGGGTCTTTAAAGAGATGTTTAAGTTAAAATGAGGCCATTAGGGTGGGCCTTCATCCAATATAACTATTGTGCTTATAAGAAGAGAAAATTTGGACTCACAGACAGACACCAAGGCTGTGCACAAACACCATGTGAGGACACAGTGAAAAGCAGCCATCTGCAAACCAAGGAGAGAGGCCTCAGGAGAAAGAAAACATGCCCACACCTTGATCTTAGACTCCTGCCTTCAGAACTGTGAGAAAATTAACTTCTTTGTTTAAGCCATCCATTCTGTAGTACTTTGTTTTGGCAGTCCAAGCAAACTAATACCCAACCACTTTTTAAAATATGATCCATGGACCACTTTCATCAGAAAGTAATGAGAGGATTAAAATGCAGATTTCTGGGCCCCATCCAGACCTACTCAATCAATTATCTGGGGTCCAGGAATCTGCAGTTTTTCCCAAGTGCCGCAGGCCATTCCAGTGCACACTAAAATTGGGAATTCCCTGCAGCCAGAATTTGCTGAAAGCGTCATATTGGTGGTCATCAGAGGGAGGCTGCCCCAAGGACACACTGCTTACATGTCCCCTCCTTTAGAAAGGCATTCTTTGCAGTTAAACATTGCCCTCTCCCTGGTGGATCTCTTTTCAGTGCAAATAGCTCCTGGATGGGGGTGACAAATTAAGTCAATAACCTTTGAGTATGAATTCATTTATCAGTTGAATTCCTGTGGGATTGGAAGGATGCCAAACCTGAGGAAAGAACGGAAGAGCAGGAATAAGTAGGGGGTTGAGAGGTGCCGGCATGGTCCACAGCAGGAAAACATGGCACCTGATGACTTTGCTCAGGATGAGCCCCACTGGGAGTGACGCTGCCCCACAGTGCACTGCTCTCTGACAGGAAGGGGAACAGAGAGATGGTGTGGGGGTGGGGGCGCTTTGGGGTTTTCTTGTTTGCTGTTTGGAAGCTGACAACAAAGACAGACCTGCTTTCCTCCCTCCCTAGGAGTGATGTGTGTAGAGGTGTGCTGAGAGAACAGGAGAGGGTGATGGGGCTTTAGGGTAAGGAGCACATAAAAGCAGGGGTAGGATGCAGAGTATTTCACAACTGGTATGGCTTAGACACAACCTGTCAGAACAGAAGGCAGAGACTGGAGCAGATCCTGACATCCCCTTGTTTCAGGAGTGAACCTTCTACAGGCCTTGGCCCTGTGCTTTGCCCAACACTCACAGCACAGGCCTGAATGAGCAGGAAGGTCTGCTTGAATTATTTGCTTTCAAGATAGGGGGAGGCATCCCTGCTCCTCCTTACCCCCTAGGGCAGGGGTGGGCAAACTTTTTGACTCGAGGGCCACAATGGGTTCTTAAACTGGACCCGAGGGCCGGAACAAAAGCATGGATGGAGTGTTTGTGTGAACTAATATAAATTCAAAGTAAACATCATTACATAAAAGGGTATGGTCTTTTTTTTTTTTTTTTTTTTTTTTTTTAGTTTTATTCATTTCAAACGGGCCGGATCAGGCCCATGGGCCGTAGTTTGCCCACGGCTGCCCTAGGGGCTTGTCTTAATTCACTTTGGAGTTCAAGCTCAGCATACTTCAGGCCAATGCAATGCACATGTGATTGTGGTATGCCTGTCTTCCCTTCTTGACCCTTCCAGCAAGCTCTAATGGGCTTGGAGTATCAGCGAGCAGGCCAGGAACAATCTCCCAACTGCTGACAAGTG